GGGGGGGGCATAGTTTTACCACGGGGGATCAAAGAACAGCACCAGCTGTGATACTACGTGTCGTAAGAGGCGACCAAAAGGTACGTAGGTCTGGTCTCCCGAAAAGTGCCAGTTTTCGGACGGCCATACACCCGACTCTGTAAAAGCTGAAAGTTACAGAAACATGAACAAACAAGCATTTTTATTTTTCGATCTTGGGAGGCGGAGGAGCTACTGCATCAGCAGGAACAATGAAAGACAGCGGACAAAGTCGAAAGGACTCTCCTGAGCCGAAACCTTTTCTGTTGAACAAGTCTCTCCGTATAGCGTCGTGGAATGTTCGCACCATGTTTGAAGTAGGAAAGAGTCCTCAAGTTCCACACGAGATGAAGATATGCCAGCTGCACATACTAGTAGTCAGCGAAACCCACTCGATACAGTCTGGACAGAAGAAGTTCTGCTCGGGAGAACAAAATTGTATTCTGGAAAGGAAGACAGGCACCAAGCGGAAGGAGCTGGCATCATTTTGGGTAAGTATGTCCAGAAGTCAGTCAGAGGAAGGGAATCACACGTGGAGGATATCATTATGGCTTCATTAACTACAAGGAGTAATAGTATCAATATGAATTAAGTCCACATCTACACTCCAACAAATGATGCTTCGGATGAAGTTTCAGAAGCAGTTAAGGAGCCGACTTCAACACTTGGCTGATTTTGGTTGATAGGACATGGGGGTGGTGATGTGCTGGACCAAGTTCAAAGATATCTTTACTTCTGTACATTAAGAAGCACATCAAGAAGTACTCAGTGAGAAGTAATTGGAGCATAAGCAATGGATTATCCAAAACTCATTAGATTTGATTGAGAATAGAAGAAGACAACTGAAGGCAGTGGAAAATGCAAGTAGAACAAAGGGATCAAGAGCAGACGCATTGAAGCAATACAAGACAACTGCCAAAGATGTCAAAAGATCACTCAGAAAAGGAAGCAGAGGCAGGAGGATACTACAAGTGAATCCTTTACCAGACTACAAAAGCTCTTGCTCGAAAATATGGGAAACCAGAAGCACCAGTAAAGGATCAAGAGAGAAAAACCATTTAGGAAATGACGCTCAGTCAAAATGATGGGTAGGGAATTTTAATAGTCTCCTGAACAGACCACCACCAAGTAACCCGCCAAGCATCCTGCCAGCAAGAAATGAGTTTCCAATTTGCTGTGATGGTATTTCAAAACAAAAGATCCTGGGGCAAATGTAAAGCGGCCGGTCTGGATCAGATTCTACCTGAGGCCCTAAAACGGCCTTGAGCGGAAACATTCTGGAGAGAATCAAGACCACAACGGATCCAAGACTTCAGAGTGGACAGGTTGATTTTCGAAAAAATATGCCAACCACTGACCAGATTGCTACGCTGAGGATCATAGTGGAACAGTCCCCGGAGTGGAACTCTCAGTTGATCGTCAACTTCCTCGACTACGAGAAGGCCTGCAACAATACAGATTGAGCTACACTGTGAAAGATATTGAGACATCACGGAATTCCACAGAAATTGGCAAACCTCATCAACAGCATGTTCGAGGGGACAAGTTGCAGAGTTGTACATGATGACCAGTTCACTGACAGTTTTGACATTAAGACCGGTGTCAGACAAGGCTGCTTACTATCACATTTCCTCTTCATCGTAGCGGTCGATTGGCTGATGGCGGAAACTACTAAAGACATAGAAATGGCATACAGTGGAAACAACATTGATACAGCTGGACGATCTAGTCTTTGCAGATGACCTGACGATTCTGTCGCATAATCAGGAACAGATGCAAGCAAAAATCCTCCGTTTTAAACAGCCTGTCAGTCTGCTGGATTGAGGATCCATCCCGGAAAGTCAAAGGTCCTTAGGATAGATGCACAACGAAAGGAGCAGGTCACTATAGAGGACCGGGGACATCTCAAGCTGAGGATTTTCAACTCAAATGTGAAGTCAGTCTTGTTTTATGAATGTGTGATATGGAACACATCTCAGACTTCCATAAAGAGGATCCAGATTTTCTTGAACAAGTGTTAAAGGAAGTTACCGAGGATCAGATGAACAGACACGGTCATCAATGAAGAAGTGTTAAGGAGAACAAGACAGAGCCCAGTCTGAGATAATAATAATAATAATTGCATTTATATAGCGCATATCCATGCTCAAGAGCATGCTCTATTCGCTTTACAACTATTATTACCCCAGCAGACCCTCTGAGAACACTCAGAAACATTCTCGGCTTCCGAGGAAGCATACAGTGCAAGCTGCGGATTTCACGCGCTCAAACACTATCAAACTGACAAGATCGTTCACTGTCTATAGCCGGGTACCCATTCCCACCTGGGTGAAGTGAGGAAAATTTGTGCAAAGTGCCTTTCCCAAGGACACAGCGTCGGGTCCCTGACGGCATTCGAACCCACGACCTCACGGTTGCGAGCTCGAGAGCCTAACCACTAGGCCACCGACGCCACAAGATAAGATGGGAAGAAGGCGGTGACCACGGAGTGGACATACTCGCAGGAAGTCAGACAGCTGGAAAATGTTGGATACGTGGCCTATATCCTAATCCATGGTAAGAAAGGCAGGGATGATAAGGATTTTTTATATGTGTCACCTCTGCTTACAGTAAAAAGGTAAATGGGAACACATAGTTTTAAAAAATCACACGGCCAAAAAAACAAACAAAACAAAACAAAAAACAAACAGGCAACGCTCCTAAATTAATATTATTATACAGATAATGCCTCTGTCTCCTCTTTTGCTGCTCCTTTTGCTGCTCCCTCAGTCACCCCCCTTGGCTGTTTTTTTTTATTTGTTCCCTTTCTTGTCCCTTCTTCCCCCCTCCTTTCAGTCACTATTTTTGTTGTTCTTTCTATTGCCATCTTTGTTTCTATGTTTATTGATCGATTTGTCGCTACGTTTGAAAAGTCCGAAGAATTTTCTTTTCTTTCTAGTGCTGCTTTCGTCTTTCTCTATATTAATCTTTTGGTCGCTCTCTTTGTTACTCATATTGTCGCTCCCTTTCTCGGTCTCTTTCTTGCTCCCACTCGGGCTTTTATTATTGCTCTCTTCGTCGCTCTCCTTCTCCGATTCTGAGTCCGTGTCTGAGTCTGTGGAAGTATTATCCGAGGAGCCGTCAGACGCACCGCTGCTCGAGGAGTTGACTGATTGACTGCTGTCAGAGCGGCTCCCTTTCTCCTTCTCATCCTCTTCCTCCTCCCCTGATTCCTCCTCCCCCTTGTCTTCCAAATTGTACTTGTTCACATTTCTGAAAATATATTTAGAGTCGACTGTTAGCATTGCTCGTATTCCTGTATACAAATTGAAGTTCAAACAGCCGAAGTAACCATTTATCAGCTTGAGCTATTGTGAATGTTTTTCGTGGATTAAAACAAAAAGCAACTACTGGCTCAGTCTAAAATATCTTCAATGCGTTGTAAAAGGCCGTGAATGTATAACAGTACTGTTCTGACAATACAACGACTTTCCAAAACGAAACGTCTTAAATTGATTTCGTAACATTTCTTTATCATTTGAAAAATCATTTCAACGCCCCGAAATTATTTATTAGTCTACGAGGGTTCCTGGCCAGGAATGACCACTGGCTAGTTCGGGGATGCTCTGGTATGGCCTACTCCTTATTTCCTACTAAACAGCCATTCTCCTTATTGCTCTTCTGTCTATTCTTTGTATATTATTACTCTTAAGTAGCACATCTGATCATCTGCATTTATATTATTATGAACTATTTGTGGGACAAGTCCACAAAACTGTTCCAACAATTTTGAAAACTCGCATTTAGTTTATGGGAGCACTAGCCAGTGATGAGCAGCAATAAACTTACTCGTTATTAAAGAGGAAGACGAAGGCGAAAAGTACCATGGGGCAGACGACGAAGATAGCCGGCAGGACCGTCCAGAAGGGCAACCATTTGGACACTGTCTTGTCCATCAGATCCGGGTAGCACTGTTCAGCGATCGAAAGGCGCCGTTTCGCTGAAAGTGAATGGGTGGCACGTAATGTTTTGCGTCTACTTCAAGTCAATCTAGGTCACTTAGAAGAAAAACTGTGTCGACCAAGCCTGTCAGGGTGGGTGGTTGGCGAGTGCTCTGGTGAGGTCAGCTCCTTCTTTCCCATCAAATATCTATCGTCCTGATCTCTTCTCCTCCGTCTTTTTGTGTTTGTTACCTTCTCGTAACATCTCTAATCTTCGGCACTTACATTCTTCAACTAAAAAAGCGACAATATTGGTTTCATGTATTTCCCTTCTTTAGTGTTACATGAGTTGGACGAAGTAGAACTCCATGGGAACTGTGCTTGGGACCCCACAGTGATAAAAACACAGTCTGCAATATCAATGGAGAAATGATGCTAAACTTATGCGCTGAGCACGACATGATGCTTATGAACACATCTTTTCAACACAGAGATTAAGCCAAATCAAGACCTGATACAGATGGAATGACCTGAATCATGCACCACACTCAGATGCGCTCCTGATGCGCAAGAAATAAAGACATACATCCAAAGATTAGAGAGCGGTTCAAAACTGCATTGTCGACACGGACCACAAACTTGTGATACTTACTCTCACAACCAGCAGTGTAAAGCAAACAAAGAAGAGCAAAGAAAGGACCATGATCAATCTAAGAAAATTAGAAGAGTCAGACATCAAGAAGGCAATATAGGATGACATAACCCAGAAGTACAATAACTTTCACTTGTCATCAACGAGTAGAAGAAGAGTGGCAAACATTCAAAACATCTTTTTCAGAATTACTGAAAAATATTTGTGGCACCAAGCGAAGCGGCGGAAATAAAGTCAGAACAACACGCTAGTGGAGTGATGAAACAAAAAAAAGCAATTTAAATAAAAAAGAAACTATTTAATAAACGGCATAAGTCAAAGACGGAAAAGGATTATATAGAATACAGAAAGCGAGGAGAAAGACCAAACCAATTATCAAAACTGCTAAATAAAATGCGTGGTAAATGTATGGCGAGAAACTTCCCTAATTTGCACGGAAAACCCTGGAGAGTTTTATAAAAGTGTAAATAGCATGCGGGTAAGAAAAGAACCATACAACCTGACATGCATTATAAACGACAAAGAGGGTAATGCCATTTTCAGCTAGGAAGCTATTAAGAAGAGATGGGTAAATGACTTCCAAGAACTTCTCAACCCAGATATTTGTCACGGACAACAAGAATAATTCCAGTCCAACATATGCAGAGCAAAAAGAACAACCCTTCAGAGAAATTAAAACAGCACTCAAAGCCAGCTCCAAGAACAAAGCCCCAAGACCAGATGGCATCGCCGTGGAAGCCATGACAACTTGTGGAAACACTTGTGTGCTGAGGCTAAGGCGTTTTTTTAAATAGAGCCTGGAAGCAAAGGAAATGCCCAGCAGATTGACAGAAAGCTAAAGTAGTCCCATTACGGAGAAACAAAGGCAACAAACGCGACTGCACAACGTAAACAGCCACCTCTTTTTTTAAGCCACACAGGAAACCATACGCGATGATAATAGAACACGGATAAGACCTTTCGTAAAGAGAAACTGAAGAGCAGCTCAATTCGGATTTCAAAAGGACAGAGAATGCACGGATGCTGAATTCGCATTAAACAGCTATACGAGAAAACCATCGAACACTAGGAATCCAACATTGTCTTCATAGATCAGGAGAAGGCTTTAGATAGAGTAAACCATGTCACACTGTAGAAGTGTACACTTGAAAGGTATTTTAAAAAAGAAATGTCTGAGCTCTTTATACCAACAGCGGAAGCTCAGCAAGACCAAAGGGAGACAGTACAGACTGGTTCAAAGTAAGATTATGGAGTACGATAGAGATGTGTTTTATCTCCCCTACCTATGGACCCAATAACGTAAGACGCAAACCAAAGTTCAGAAAGCCTAAATTAACTTCTGTTTGCCGACGACCATTGTCTTATTCATCCAAACAAACAAAGCCTCCAAAATCACAACACCGAACTGAACATCAGCTGCGAGAAGTTTGACATGAAAATAAGTTACGAAAGGGAGCCGAAACCATAGTCCCATGAACACCCATGTCTATAGTAAACTACTGAAACAGGTGCAGCAGTTGAAATATCTTGGCAGCACTCATTCTGAAAACGAGCATATAGACAGAGAAATAGAAATTCGAACTGAAAAAGTCAGCACCGTCACCTACCAGTTCGCACCCCTTGTATCTCATCCAAACATCTCCATGGACACAAAGAGACAACTTGTCACTTCAATTCTTATACCAACATTACGGCGCTACCAAGGCCAGACCTAAATATTAAGTAAAACTCATGAAAGCAAAACCCTTTACATCAAAAGACGAGACAGGCAGGGGAATGAAGAAGTAAGTATTGGCACTAAGTCCTGCCTACATTTCATAGGAAAAGAGGTTCGGCCACTGCTTATGAATGCCACTTGGACAGCGAGCCTTGTAATCCTATAACACCAAGTACTCAGGCTATAAAGGAAGAGGTGGGCCACACAAAAGATGGATTGAGGAAGTCAAGAAAACCCTGAGAAATTATAATACATGTCGTGTTCACTGCAGAGCTGGCTTACCATAAAAAAAACACTGCATCTCCCTTCCACACTTAACGGCAACAGGGGATGAAAATGTAAAAATAAGTAATGTTTCCATGCCACATAAAACGTTCTGGTGGGTGGTTGGAGGGTCACCACTAGTAGGACTTATTTCCGTTATGTTCCTATGTTGTTTTTGTCTGTCAGTCTTACTTATATTCTATATCGTAATTATTGGCTGTTGTTGTGTGGATTTTCTGCTCTTTCTCAAACAAACAAACAAGCACACAAACAAGCATGCATACAAACAAACAATTAGCTATTTCAGAGAATACCTTACCTCGTTCGTGAGTACACCTTCCCTGTGTATGTGTGCACGTGCGCGCGCGCGCGTGTGTGTGTGTGTGTGTGTGTGTGTGTGTGTGTGTGTGTGTGTGTGTGTGTGAGTGTGTGCGTGTACGTATATGTTTGTGTGTACATGTATGTGGGTGTTCGAATGTGTGAATGTTGGCAGGACTCACCAACTTGAGTCGAGGCGCACAAACCGTTGACTACGTCACAGTCAACCCCTGGACCACACACGTGAGAGCAGAGTCGGACACAGTTAAAGCCAAACCTCCCCTTGGCGCACACTGGAAGGAGAGGGATACGGCTACTGAATGTTCGTTCAAAGTTCACATTTAGTTTATTTACAATACCTACATTTCGTTTATTCACCGGTATTCTGTTTATCTACCGCACTAGCCTTATGTTTATCTACTGGCATTTGATTTTTTCACTGACATTTTGTCTATTTAATTTCATTGAGTTTATTTACTCAGATGTTATTGTTTTCTGGGATTTTCTGTGTGTGTGAGGAAAAGTGGAGCTGGGGTGGAGGGGAAGTCTTTCAGATCTTCTCGTTTTATTCACATTTGCTGGATTCCAGAAAAATGATAAAGGGTTAAGTGGTGTGTAAAAAGGATGTGTGCGTATGTAGTAGTAGTAGTAGTAGTAGTAGTAGTAGTAGTAGTAGTAGTAGTAGTAGTAGTAGTAGTAGTAGTAGTAGTAGTAGTAGTAGTAGTAGTAGAAAAAGAAGAAGAATAGTAGTAGTAGTAGTAGTAGTAGTAGTAGTAGTAGTAGTAGTAGTAGTAGAAAAAGAAGAAGAAGAAGAAGAAGAAGAAGAAGAAGAAGAAGAAGAAGAAGAAGAAGAAGAAGAAGAAGAAGAAGAAGAAGAAGAAGAAGAAGAAGAAGAAGAAGAAGAAGAAGAAGAAGAAGAAGGAGAGGAAGAGGAAGAGGAAGAGGAAGAAGAAGAAGAAGAAGAAGAAGAAGAAGAAGAAGAAGAAGAAGAAGAAGAAGAAGAAGAAGAAGAAGAAGAAGAAGAAGATACCAATCCCGATAACGAATTCAATGCTGTGTGTACTTTACTCTAACAAATTTCATGTCATGCACGCTTGCCTTGACAGCTGTTTGTCCTTCCCACGTCACAGAAGGTTCCATCTGGGCATGGGGCCGAGCATAGAACGTTGCACGGTGTTTTGACAAAACTCTGGCAATTCTCTGAAGCACAACGATCAGAAAATAACGCACACGCATTCATATACAGGTTGACTCAGAAAGAAAGAAGTTCTCAAGCATTGATACGGAATGAGTCAGTGATCATTTGAAATAATAATATACTGACGGTCTTTAAAAACGTACCATTTTGGATTGAGCACATTTTGCATGTAAATTTATCCAATGACATTAATTGAGGTGGACAAACGTTCACAGGCAACAGAGATTACCGATAACACAAAATTTTAAGTTCTCAGTTCAAAACCGTCAATGCGCACGTGCAACTTGCAAAAATTTGATTTGTCGACCTCAAGCTTTAACTCTGTTAAGCTAGAAAGATTTTTTGGCTGTTAGGGAGAGATTATAAATTATTCGCCCATAACAAAAACTGACATTCTTTACTCTGTGCGACATATTTTTTTGGCGTAAATAATGCAGCGACTTTCCATGCTCCATGCAAGAACGTGAAAGAGCCATTGGAACGCTCCAAGCCGGAATGGCAGCACGGCAAGTTGCCAGGCGCATGAACTGTAGCCACTCGGCTGTTGTCCGGTTGTCTCAAGGAAATCCAGCTAATGGATCTACAGCAGATCGGCGACGGAGCGGCCAACAACGAGTTACATCACCAGCGAACGACTGTTATATTCGCCAATGTCACCTTCGTGACAGCTTCCTTCCAGCACCGGAAACAGGTCGTCAAGTGGCTGGTCGGGATGTACCAGTATCTGAATGGGTCGTGCGGCACCGTTTGCTGGAAGCAGGACTTGCAGTCAAACGCCCGTACGCTGGTCCTGTCCTGACACAGAGGCACGTCAACAACGTTTGCAGTGAGCCAGGCAACATTTACAGTTGACACGACGCCAGTGGAGGATTGTAGTTTTTTCTGACATGCTGACGGGAGAGGAAGGGTCTGGAGACGCCCCGGCGAGCGGTATGCCAACTGTTGTATGCTGGAGGTCGATAGATGGGGAGGAGGCAGCGTCATGGTATGGGGAGCGTTCAGCCACGATTATTGCACACCACTGTACTTCTTCGACCAGCCCGTGAATGCCAACACGTACCAGCAAGTTCTGCAGAAACACGTCGTGCCGTTATTTGGTCAACACCCAGAGCTGCAGTTATTCCAACACGACAACACCCGCCCGCACACCGCTCGAGCCACCACTGCTTTTCAGCAAGCAAACAACATTGATGTCTTGCCTTGGTCATCACAGTCTCCTGACATAATACCAATTGAGCATGTGTGGGACGAACTTGGCCGCCGTTTGTCCCGTGGAAGACCTCTACACAATCTCCAAGAGCTGATGCGTTCTTTGACAAATGAGTGGGTACAGATTCCACAAGTGTTCTTTCAGACTCTTGTCAATTCCACGAGAAGACGCTGCCAATCCGTATTCAGACCAATGGAGGACATACACGATACTAAAGCAAGTGTTAAAAATTCAGTTTACCGCTCTGATTTTTTAAACATGACTTTTGTTACTCCATGCTTTTGTGCTCGCGGTGCAATTTGACCTTTTCATTTCATTTCAGCTTTGAATATTCACAAAATTACTATAGAATGCTATGGTATATATTCTGTAAAAAAACAACAACACTTCACCCTTATTTGAATTGTTTTGTTAAGTGGTGCGTTTTTTAATGACCGTCAGTAGAAGAAATAACTATAAAATAAAGAGTAAACAGATTTTATGACGCATCGCTTTATTTCTCGAGTATCTTTATGGGATCTGTCAGTGGCCATTTGAAAGAGGAGTTATCTAACTTTGAATAGACGTTACAGGGAGTGTTATTGTCGCGCCGTTCTTCCTCGGGAGGAACCACCATTACAGGACAAACCTATCTCGACATGCTTCAAAATTGGCCCTTCACATTACTGCTTTGTGATTTTTTTTCCTTGTGAAAATATGTAAAAAATCGCCACTATGTTCCAGCGCGACCCACTAACCCCCAAGACCTTAAACATCTCAGCACAAAAGCAATCAATTGTACACACACACACACACACACACACACACACACACACACACACACACACACACACACACACACACACACACACGCACACACGCTTCTCTAACCTAATTTTACCTCATCTGCTAGAACCGTAAAATAATGGGTTCGAATTCCGCCAGAGGCCCGACTTTGTGTTCTTCGAAAAGGCACTTAACATGACTCTTCCACATTTCACCCAGGTGAGAATGAGTACCCGGCTATAGACTGTTGAGGATCTTGTTCGTTTGTTAACGTTGGAACGCTTACTCAGCTGTTTGTAGCGCAGTATGCTTCCCGGGAAGATAAGAATGAGCCTGAGGCCTGTGTTCGATTCCCGTGTTGGGAGAATCTTTCGCGAGTATCCTGGTCTTTCTGCTGCCGGGACGTTGCTTCACGCTCAGCCTGGGTTGGCCCAATCTAACTCTCATGGTTGAACCTGCTTCATAAATTATCTAAATTTTATCGATAGGGCCGTAATAACATCTACAGCTTTAGAAATAGGAGAGACGAAATGTGTCTCAGGGTACACGACGGGAGAAAAACAACAACAACTGAATACACTCACGACAGCTTCAGTACAATTGCAACACAGATGTCACAAGAGATGGGGTCATCATAAGAAGTAGTGAACCCGCTTACCGTAACACTCGAATTTAAACTTGTTACATCCGTAGATATTTTCATTGCAGCTGACGTCACAGCTCCCATGGCACCGAATCCCGAAAGTGTTGTCTGGACATTCTGGGAGATGCAAAACAGCTTGATAGCGAGTTGTTGGTTTTTTTATTCTGGGGCGTTCAACGTGAAAAGTTAGTTGATCCCTATCTATCTATCTATCCCACACACTCCCACACCCACCTCCTTTGTGTGTCTTTGACTAAAAAAGAAAATATTTTTTTCCGACATAAAGTATAAAGGGAATTGCACACTAGTTTGGTTTTAATAATTTGCTCTTTGTTTCCTTTCTTCCTTCTTTTTTTGTTCTTTCTACGTACGTGCCTACCTACCTACCTACCTACCTACCTATCTACCTACCTACCTACCTATCTACCTATCTATCTACCTACATTCATACCTACCTACCTACCTACCTACCTACCTACCTACCTACCTACCTACCTACCTACCTACCTACCTACCTCCACACCGAACAACTGACCAACCGACTTATCTATCTATCTATCTATCTATCTGTCTGTCTATCTATCTATCTATCTATCTATCTATCTATCTATCTATCTATCTATCTATCTATCTATCTATCTATCTATCTATCTATCTAACTATCTAACTAACTAACTATCTATCTATCTATCTAACTATCTAACTAACTAACTATCTATCTATCTATCTATCTATCTATCTATCTATCTATCTATCTATCTATCTATCTACCTTGACACAGCCCGTCAGCGTTGAGGTGGTATCCGTACTTGCACTCCCCACACCTGTCGCCAAAGTCCCGGTCACAGCCCGTGCACAGACCTATCACTTTGAAGGTACATTTTTTGTCACAGTTGTAGCCGTACTTGTTCGGATCATCACATGCTGCCACAGACACACAAACAAACACACGACGGTTAATGATGAGAAACACGCGCACAGACAGACTACTTACTAACACACAAACACACACACACACATAAACACACACAACCAAACACACACACACACACACACACACACACACACAAACACACACAACCAAACACACGCACACACACACACAATCAAACACGCACATACACACACACACACACACACACACACACACACACACACACACTACCAAACACACGCACATACACGTACAGACATATGCACGCACACAAAGACACCCAGAGCGTATTACTTAAAGCTAAAAGTTGGCTCATTGGTCTTACTTTTAATATGAAAAATAAGATATCTGTCTTGAATAGAATTCGAAATATATTTTACTAATGAACGTAGATTCTGAAAGTGTTGAAACAAACGGGGGTCAGACTGAAGGCAGTTGCCTCCAAAGAGCAGCGCAACTGCTTGTAGAAACAAGCTCTGAACTCACCACTCCTCTTGTTGATGTAAGAACTGAGACATCTCCCGGTCTTGCGGTCACATTTTTCTCCAAGCTTACAGCCCACACAGTCCTTTTTTGGAAGATTAAGAGAAGGAGTCGATGGGGAGGAGCAAATTAATCAGTGTAGAGTTTGTTAAGAATGTAAGGCCTTACTGCGCATGGGTAGGTCATTTCAATGGCTGGCAACTTGGGTCAGAGGTGAAAGTGTTTTAAATGTTTTTTTTTACAACTAGTACGAGACGGGAACAAAAAAACAGGAAATCAGGTTTTCTTTTCATGACTCAAAGAGAATTTTCATGACCACGGTAAAGTTCCACCAAAAGGAAGATGGATATTTTGTAACTATTGTTTGCTTTTTGTACAACTTTAGGAAGTTGGGTCGTTCGGGCTCTATCTTTCATGGCAACTTATACGCCTGTCACAGAAAGATATGATACAGGATATGTAGTGGCTTCATGTAGTATACACAAAACGAGACAAATGGATGGTAAAAAGTTCAGGTTTCCTATTGACTTCACTCTTGTGTTGATGCTAAGTATTTTTATGTTGGTACTCTGGTATATCCACCCGAATTTCCTTCATTAATCAATAAGGTTTATTTGAACACAGCAACTTAAAAGGCTAGATGTCTGGCATGCTATACAAGTCAATTCAGCTTGAATTTCCACCAAGAATATAATAAGGTGCGTGGCTTGAACATATTATGATGACTGCTATAACAAATATGTGAATTAGGAGGGTAGGGAAGATACTTTTTATGATCTCATTCTACTAAAATATAAATGAATTCTACCATTACGCCGAACACTTAATTCAGTTTACAAAAAAAGAGCCATGGCCATATTATTCTAAAGCTTTGATTGACATTTGACGCATATGTAGGAATCTTAAATCAGAGTTGCGGCTGATGAAAAAAATAGAAAACTTTACAGCATTTGATTACACCAATGACATTCTTTTTCGGCAAAACTTAGTACCAAAAATATTATATAGTGGACACATTTCTTGCTCTAAAGATTCTCAAAAAATGCGTTCAATGAGCATGGTGTCACCGTCAGACGAAAGGACGGACTTACTTTTAAAAGATTATTATTATTGTCCCAGCTAAAGGGATGTAAGTCTTTTAAAATCTGTAGAAAACTACACTCTGGGACTTTCAAGTAGCATTTATTAAGGAATGCTCTAGAGTACAACTAGCAGGTGTTTACAAAATTATGATCTATTAAGGCAAATTGATACAAGTAATTCTGCAAAAGCTGGATAGTTTATGTTCAATAGATGAGGAAATCAGCCGTGTGATTCTCGGAGCCCTGTCCAAGAGACAGGGGAGCAAAGAATAGGACCACTGTATCCGTACCGCGCATGTCGTAGAAGGCGGTTGGGCAAAGGGTTAGCAGCCCTTTCCCATAAACAAAAAGCAGCCACAAAAACATCAACAGCATATGTTGTTGATGGCCTGTGCTCCACTGGGAGTTAATAAAGGGCAAGAGAGAGAGTGAGAGAGAGAGAGAGAGATGAGGAAATATTTGACAACAGTGGTCTACAACGAATTTGCTTTCGGCTTAGAATTGACTGAACTTCACTAATTTGGGGGCGCTAAATTCAAAAATGATACTCCTTTTTCATGTTTAGGTCCATTTTTTTAAAAGATTCAGCTTGAGGACGTTTTCCCTTATTTCATATAATAATAAACCCCCAAAGAGCCTTTGAGATCGATAGTTTTAGTCTGCAAACAAGTATTCGATGTGTGAGGCATTGTATGAAAATGGTATCATGATACAACATTTTCCTCTGTAGCTTCATTGGGACCATTTAGTTTTCACTAAGCAAACAGAGAGTTTCAGAACCATAAACAGCTTAATATGATTACACAAAATGGACTGAACGACCTTTTCATTGACTTACACCTGGCAAAACATAAAACGTTGGGTTCAAAGCTCCAGAAATGGCATTTGCTGATGACGGTCTGAGAATTAACACATTTAGAAACCATGACACTGATTTTCGGCCATGTTTTACAATGAAGGGCAAACTTGTTGCATCTAACGATGTGGGTGACAATATCGGGAACGTTTTCACCAAGGTTTGGCGCCATGGAAAACGACATCGGGGCAAATAATATAGTGATAACATGATAGCAGATTAGTGTTGGTTGGAAACAAGAAATATACCAGAACTTGAATACAAGAGGTTAGTCAAGAAAAGGTGAAATAAGTATGAAGTAACCCCCATTTTAGTCCTTGTGCATTATATGTAAAATATGAAAACCTGAATATCTAAAAAACTAGACATAAACGTCAAATGTCACTATCTATTTTGTGTTCACCATCCTAAAATCCATATTAAGAGGGATGCTTATACTCGGAAGCAGATCCATTTTGCAATTTTGTTGACCAGTGAATACCTTTTGTGACTAATTTTCGATCACAAACCTGACGAAATTAGTGGTAGCTTTTGTTTGTTTTTTCGTTTAGGATTTGGCTTTAAAAAATAATTTTGGGACTTTTTTCACCTCAAGGCATTCCGTTCCATATTTTCCAACAGAACAGGAAGTGTCGTTGCAGCTGAGGCCCATCCAGCCGTCCTCACATCCCGCCGCACAACTTCCACTGTCAAGGTCACACTGTTCGCCGTATTTACAAGCACAGATGTATCGACAGTTGGGCCCGAAGAGACCAGTGGAGCAGATCGTCTCTGTGCATGATCTACCCAGCCACTTGCCTGAAGATAAAGGAGCTGTTGCTGTTGTTGTTGTTGTTGTTGTTGTTGTTGTTGTTGTTGTTGTTGTTGTTGTTGTTGTTGTTGTTGTTGTTGTTGATGATGATGTCAATGTGTTTTGCCATAGTTGCTAATGATTTGTTGTTTTAAAAAAAAAATTGTTTTTGAAGTTGCTGTTGTTGCCCACGATTCGGGTGGAGCAGCAACAAAAATAACTGTAAATTTAAAAAAAAGCAGGAATAACAGCGACACCAACACTAGCACCAGTATCACCAACAGCACAACCACCAACACCAACATTTTGCTTTAACTTGTACTTTTACTTTTCCGATCCAGCGGCCATCTGAATTCTGGCCCTTCGGCCTTTCGATATGGCAAAGAACTTAGAGGCTTTTATCAGCTGTGTTTTGTCGCTTATAGATTATTTCTGACACCTGGGGAGACAGGTAGGTGGGTGCTATGCAGGTCACTAGTGCAGGGCAGGTACGGAGGTGGTGTTGTGCTGTTTCATCCTGGCAGTCACACAACGGGCAGGCAGGTGGGGTATCCTTGCAGATCCTGTTTAGGTGGGCATTTAGTGGGATGTGATGAGTTCCCAGGCGAAAAAAAAGTGACTTGTCCTCTTCTACGTAGGGAATTTAGTGCATATTTTGAGTTTGGAGCGGTCCTGTGTGCAAATACAGTTCATCCGGTGTTGTCCTTTGCCCATCTATTCAGCCGCTGTTTCATGGTGTTGCATTTGATGACGCTCTTGACTGTCTGTTGCGATATTGGGTTTGAGGTTGTGTTTGTGCTGCCCCCTTCTGGGCAAGGGTGTCTGTTCTGTCAGTCCCTGAGATGTTGCTGTGGTCAGGTATTCACGGTTGGGCGGTATAGATCTGCACAAAGTAGGGATGGGCAGGTACTGGTACCCAGTACCGGAACTCGCGGTTCTACCGAAGGAGGTGTCAACACCGGCACCAGGCGCACAGTACCGGCTCTGGGACGGAGCCGACACCAACGGTTTTCACTGGGCCGCAGGAAGTGTGCAGTGTGTAGGCCTAAGCTTAGGCTAAGCAGCAGTGACGTCAGATACACAAAGCAGCAGGTGACCTTGATACACGACTTCAGATTCAAAACTGACAATAAAAAACGAAGTTTGCTTAAATTCAAATATAGCATCAAATCAGGTTCCATGAGAGCCACTATGCTTACTTTGATACGCTGATTCCGAAAATGCAATACATTTTTAGAGGCGATAATCTTACTATAATGGAGCAAAGCCCGTTTGTGAGGTCTGTATACATTTTTTACACAGGTGCCCATAAGATCTACAAAAGTATGATTCAGTTACGAATTGTCACAAAAGGTTACGTTAGCATATTTTCAAAGTTTGGAAGCTACCTTTTGATTTTTCAGGTTTGATAGTTTTTACTGTAAATCGAAGCTCTCAGTTGTATTCACCTTCCATTAGCCATTTCATATTTTACTGGAGACTACTTCCGTTTCGGTTTGTACTTCGTCGTGTGCTTGGCACAGCTGCTTCTACTTTTTCCAGATCTAGAATCTCGGTATCCAACTCTGGATGTGTGCTTCTAAGTGTCGATGGATATCTCAGGCCAAACTTTATTGTATTGATTTTTTTCTAGATACATTTAGTGTAGTCACGTTCCCAACACGTTGAGTTTGTTTTATTAAGCCCACAACATGTTTACTTTGTTGTATTGACGTTTTCCAAATTTGGCACGTATTTGGTGAGTAGTTTTTTACGGAGCAAGACTCGAGATCTTCATCTCTCCATATCCTAGATGTATTTGGAGCACAGAATTGAAGACTGATTGGGAGTAGTTAACAGGAACAAAAGTGCCATTTGTGTTTTGTTGGGTGTATGCCACGGAGTTCTACTTCGTGTTTACAAAGCTGCTTCTACTGTTTCCAGATCTAGAATCTCGATATCTAACTCTGTTTGAATGAGTGCTTCGCAGTGTCGATGGGTAGTTCAGTTCAAACGTCATCGTACAGACTTTTTCTAGATATATTTGGTGTCGTGATGTCCCCAACACGTTGAGTTCGTTTAAACCCACAAAATGTTCACTTCGTTGCATTGACGTTTTAAAAATTGGAGCACACTTTCTGCGCAGGTTTTCAAAGAGCAAGGTTCTAGATCTAGATCTATTTATATTCTAGATGTATATATGTCCGTCAGATATGCCACCCCACAAACTGACATTGCGGAAAGACAGCATTGTCATGTTGCTGAAAAATCTGGACCCCACAAACGGCCACTGCAGCGGGATTCGATATGTGGTTCAAGAGACTTTTCATCCCAAGGATCCCCCCCCCTTTTGCCTTTAGACAACATACTATTTCCCTTCCATATGCGACGGAAACAATTTATGGTTAGACCTGCTTTTACAATGACTGCCAACAAACCGCAGGGATAGATTTTGAAAAGGACAGGGAGGGTTTTTTTACAGGGCGATTTCTTTTTCTCATGGACACTGTTGTATGTCGCAAAGAGTCGTGTTGGGTCCAGGGACTCTATTAGAATACATGCAAACAGACCTGCTGCCTAGGATGGAGTTCCAATACCAAAATATAACGAGAACAAAAAACAACAACAGCAACTACAGCAACAACAATAGGAACAAGAACAGAAACAATGACAACAACAAGAACAACAGCAACAACATCACCAGCTACGACAACATCAACAACAACCAAATAAAAAATAACGACAACAACATTAACCCTAACAAGAACTAAAAACAATAACAAAACTTCCAGTCAACATCACCAACAGCTACAACACACAGAACAACAACGACATACAACACGACCTACCTCAAGCCAAGCCCTTACCTGAACATCCCTTGAACGGCATCTGCAGACACTGGCCTTGCTCCTGGGCGCACTTTACGGGATCTGCACAGTGGCACGTCTTCTCACAGTCTCTGCCGTACTGTTGGATTGGACAGTCGCTTTCAGCGCAGTACTTACCCCCAGCCCCGGGCCAACATGACATGCAACTTCCTTCAAAGCTGCACCAGGTATCCCCCCGACACGCACAACCGGTTAAGTTGTTGGTGTCGTACTGTCCGAACTTTCCCGCTTCATACCACGTCCTGTTGCAGGATTTTGAATCCCCGTCGTCATACCAGGCGGGTGAGCATGCCCCTCGACATTTGCCAGTAATAGAGTCACAGCCGTCAGTGCAGACACAGGTCTTGTCACATTTTGGCGGGTTCCATCTTAAGAGAGAAACGTGGTAAAAATTACGATGACCACCACCTCCTCTTTTCTACTCCCTCTTCGGGCCGAAGAATGTTTCAAATCCGTCTCCAATTTTAGGATAACTACTGAACCACCAGACAAGCAAATAGCTCCTTGTCAGCTAACATAAATTCAAGAATGTGTCAACGTATTGGTTTTTGAGAGCATCCCCTCTGTTTTCTTTTAATAGATATCATAATAATATATATATTTTCAGTTGTGCCAGTTTGCGGAGGGCCATCTACCCTACCCAGTAAAAATAGTCAGTTACTGAAACACGGCCGACAAAAACGGCTTTTTATTTTTTTTATCTTGGGAGACGGAGAAGCCTCTTCAGCGAAGGACAGCGAACAAAGTCGAAAGGACTCTCCTGATCCGAAACCTTCTCTGTCGAACAAGTATCGCCTGATGCGTCGTGGAATGTTCGTATCGACCATGTATGAAGCAGGAAAGAGTTCTCAAGTAGCACAAGAGATGAAGAGATACAGGCTTCATATACTAGGAGTCAGTGAAATATACTGGACCGTCTGGACAGAAACAGCTTGGCTCGGGGGAACAAATATTGCATTCTGGGAGGGAATACGAGCACCATGCAGAAGGAGTGGGAATCATTTTGAGTAAGTATGCACTGAAATCACTCAGAGGATGGGATCCACGCGAGGCGAGGATCATCATGTTTTCATTCTTTACAAGGAACAAACGCATCAGCGTGAACATAGTCCAGATCTACGCCCCAACAATAAATAATGCATCAGGGTCATTAACAAACTACCAAGGAAGGATGTCAACATCATAATGAGAGATGTCAATGCCATGATTGGTCTGTACAACGTAGGTTATGAGGGAATTATGGGACAACATGGCTTGAGACAAATGAATGAGAACGGTGAGCGATTCGCAAATATATGTGCTTTCAACAGTGTAGCCATTGGAGGCTCATTTTTTCCTCACAAGACGATTAACAAGGCTACCTGGAGTTCGCAAGATGGAGTGACGGAGAACCAGATAGATTTTTTTGCATGTCTTGTAGGTTCAGGCGTTCACTGGAAGAAGTCCGAGTAAAGAGAGGGGCAGACTTTGGATCGGATCATCATCTGTTGTTGGCAAAACTCAAGTTTCGACTAAAAAAGGCACTGAACCAGCACAGGAACCAAAAGAAGTTCCAAGAAAGTCTCTTGGACGGACACAAGAAAGAGGAATTTCAGCTGCAGTTGAAGAACAGATTTCAAACTCCGGATGATATTGGTTGAAAGGACATGGAGGTGGAAATCTTTACATCAGCATGTCACATAGTACTCGGTGCAAGAAATGGGAGCACAAGGAAAGGATTAGCTAACACTCATTGGATTTAATTAGGTTTTAAAGGCAATTGAAGGCAGAAGCGAATGCAAGAAGAACAAGAGGATCAAGAGCGGATGCATTGAAGAAGAAGATGACAACAGCTAAGGATGTCAAGAAATCCGTACGAAAATCCAAGGAGGAATTCATGAACAGGCTGGCAGAGAATGCAGAGGAAACAGCGGTAGGAGGGTACATGCGAATCCTTAACCAGACTACAAAGACTCTTGCTGGAAAATATGGGAAAACTAAAGTACCAGTAAAGGACCAAGAGGGGGAAACCATTTTTGAAAGGAAGCTCAGTCGAAACGATGGGTAGAGAATTTCAATAGTCTCATGAACAGACCACCACCGAGTAACCCCCCAAACATCCTGCCAACAAGAAATGGGTTAACAATCAAGAGATTCTGGATGCCATTAAGACGCTGAATAAAGGTAAAGCGCTGGTACTGTTTGGATTCCATATGAAGCTCAAAAAGCAGATGCCAGTGGAACAGCAACCCTCATCCTCCCACTGTTCACTAGAATATGGAATGAGAGCAAATTCCCAAAGGATTGGAAAGAAGGACACCTTGTGAAGCTTCCAAAAAAGGGGGATCTCCGCAACTGTTTTGCAACACCGGCGGTCTCTTGGGATGTGTATTGTCAACGAAAAATGCCAACAATTAAGAAGGATGACACAACACACCTAATAAAATCATTAGGATACTCTTCAAAGAGACGAATCTTGGTGCGCAGCGACATGTTAGTATTGTTACTTGCTTTCTAGACTTTTGATATTTGATTGAATGCTGACCTTGCCTTGATGGTTCTTGCTTCCAAATCTGCCTCAGTTCCACCTTTACCATCGATGACACTTCCAAGGTAGGAAAATTAGGAGTCCACTTTTTCCAGGGCAGTGTCTGCCACTGTCACAGCAGAGCTTGAAACTTTTTATAGCTTCTCTACTTTCGACTTGTCCGGATAATACGTAGGCCAACACTCCTGGATAGACTGTTGAGCTCCTTGGTCTTTTTTTTGCATCTGGGCATGTGTGTGAGAGAGCAGTGCAAGGTCGTCGGCGAAGTCCAAGTCGTTCAGCCGCTGCCAAGAGGTCCACTGTATTCCATTGCACTTGTCTCTGGTGGCTACTATCATGACCAAGTCAATTGCCAGTATGAAGAGAAAAGGTGAGAGCAACAATCCTTGTTCCTGTCTTGTCTGTACTTGGAATGGTTCTGAGAGTTGTCCTTCATGGAAGACTTAGCAGTTTGTTCCACCACAAGTGGCCTTCACAAGCTTGACGATTTTGTCAGGTATTCCATAATGCCGCATGAGTTTCCACGGAGTTTCCCTGTCCACACTCTCAAATGCTTTGTCATAATCAATGAAGTTGACCACTAGTGGGGAATTCCATTCAAGCGATTGCTTAACAATGATGCACAAAGTATTGATCTGGTAAACACATGATCGGTTCCTGCGGAATCCTGCCTGGTTTCCTCTGAGCTTCTCATCTGTTGCCAGCTTCATTCTCTCCCGGAGTATCATGTTAAAGACTTTGCCAGGTATGGACAGGAGTGTTATGCCTCTGTTGTTGTTACACTTACTGAGGTCTGCATTCTTTGGCAACTTGATTAGGTGGCCTTCCTTCCAGTGTGGTGGTATTTCCTCCTCTGGCCAAACCTTTTCAAATAGAATATAGAGAACTCCCACTGATGTATGTTTATCTGCCTTAAGGGCTTCTGGTGGTATATTGCCGGGGACAGCTGCCTTGTGGGATTTCAGTGATATTATAGCTGCAACAATTTCCTCTTTCAAGGGTGGTTCCGTAATTATTGGGAGGCTGTTTCTGACTGGAAGAATTTATTTCTGTTTGGTTTCTAGAGTTGGTCTGTTCAAGAGTTGATCAAAGTGGCCTAGTGGTTAGTCTCTCGGACTCGCAACCGTAAGGTCGTGGGTTCGAATCCCGTCAAGGGCCCGACGTTGTGTCCTTGGGAAAGGCACTTTACACGAATTTTCCTCACTTCACCCAGGTGAGAATGGGTACCCGGTTATAGACAGCGAAAGATCTTGTCAGTTTGTTAGTGTTTGAGCGCTTAATCGGCTGCTCGCATTTTATGCTTCCCGGGAAGCTGAGAATGTTTCGGAGTGTTCTATGGTCTGCTGGGGTAATAATATAGTGTAAAGCGCATAGAGCCGGCTGTTGAGCGGGGATATGCGCTATACAAATGCTATCTATTATTATTATTATTCTCTCCATTGGTAAAGTTGCCACTCTGGGTCAAAGATAGACTTTCACTCTTTGTCTTTCACTGGTAGAATGGGCTTGCAGAACCAACCTGAAAGAGTTTTTGTTGTCTGGTGCACAATCCGCAAGTGTCCATCTGTTGCTGCTTTCTCTGCCTTTTCGGCCAGGCCAGTCAGGTAGGTATTATTGTCCTTCTTGGTGGAATTCTTTACCTCCCGGTTTACTTCGGTGTACTCTTGTTGTGCAGCGAGTTTCTCAGTTCGGGTACGGCTGTTGTTGACTTGGGCCTTCAGCTCTCTTCTTCTTTTGACTTTGTCTAGAGAGTCCTGTGAAATCCATTTTTTCCTGGTGTTGACTTTGGGTCCTAGGGTGCTCTGGCAAATTGCATTGACTGCCTTTTAAAAAAAATCTTGTCCCAGTGTTCGTTTACTTCACATTCATCCAGATCTTGAGGGGCTTGAAATCTCATCTTCAGGTACAACCTGAATTCATTCATCTTTAATGGGTCTTTCAGAAAGCTGTCTTCATACTTTTGACGACTTTCAGTTATGGTTTGTGCATGCCTTCTCAGTTTCAGTTTCATCTTTCCGTGGATTAAATAGTGGTCTGATGCGACGTCAGCTCCTCGTAAGACTCGGGCGTCCTCCAGTGAACGTCCAAACTTTCAGGAAATGCAAAAAATGGTCAATCTGGTTTTCCATTGTTCTATCCGGGGAGACCCAAGTGGCCTTATGAATCCTTTTTATGAGAGAAGATTGTTCTTCCAATAACCAAGTTCTTGAATGCAGAGAAGTTCTGGAATTTTTTCTACATTGTCATTTGCCTCTCCTAATCCATGTCTACCCATGGTTTCCCCACAGTGACCACTGTCCGAACCTACCTTTGCATTTAGGTCTCCCATAACAATGTTGATGTCCTTACCTAGAAGTTTGTCGATTACACTGTGCAGGCGGTAGTGGAAAACGTCTTTATTCTCCTTTTCCGCATCATTGGTTGGGGTATACACTTGTGTGACGCTCGTGTTTACGACCTTCTTCCTTCAATCTCTTACCTTGAGTTCTTTCTTAGTTGCTAACATGGCCATGACGATCCTTGAACCGTGCGCTTCCCAAGCCCTGAATGTCTTTTGAGCTGTTTTGGATATGATCATCTCTACTCCTTCTGTGTTGACCATCACTGTCATTTCCTGAATAAATGAAAAGCCCCCCCCCCGCCCCGCCCCCTTTTCATTCGCTTCTGTCCATATTGGTTCGAGTGGGTCTCATTGATTCCCAGTATGTGTAGGTGGTATCGGTGCATCTCTTGGAGGACTGCTCCAATCTGGAGAGACTTGGACTTGTATGATTGTGGAGGCTTCTGCCCAGCAGCTTCCTTTCGGCTTTCACTACCTCGCATCTTAAACTTTCCATTCGGAGAAGTTCGACGACCAAGTACAGATTCTGGTTTTACCTCGTATGTGTTTCTGTAACATGTCCTTTTTTACGAGAGAGGTTGTTAGTCTCGTGACGACTCTGTTTCGGGAGTCACTGCCTGGTTCGCCTTTTGGTCGCCTCGTACGACACGCTGGCACCACGACAGTCCTATTCTTTTCAATGTCGAGACTGCACGGCTGGGGTTATTGCTACCATCGTAAAGCTGGTTCATTTATCTCGCATTTGATAAATAATATACCCGTCTATCTTAAATTGAAGTTTTGATGTTTGCAATTGATAGAGGTGGGGTTGCTTTGTTTCAGAGGTAAAATTAGCGAGAAATGGCCTCCAAATATGGTGATTCCCATTCCTTAAGAGTACTTGGTTATTGTTTATTTTTAAGCATTTAAACAATGATTTTTTAAAGTAAAATCTGCACATATACATATATTGTAAGTGGTCATTGAAGGTGTTAAGCCAAACAAAATAAATTCGATTAGAAAAAAAAGATCGCCAAACTGGTAGAAAAATGCCGGGTTTTTTTCGATTTCATTATTTTGACGAGCGCCTGATTTCACCAGTGTCTTACAAATGTATTCTAAAAAGTGACTACTATTCGCAAAACCTTTTCCTATGGTGACAAAAAACAGACTACACGGCACCCATGTGCAGCCTATCAAGTTTGTAGATAAGATAGTATCAGAAAAACACTCTTTCCGCGCGTGGTCACTTTGTGGGAAATCATTTATTGAGAAAAACGAAGAAAACTAGAGATTTGAAATTGTCATAGTTCAAAAATTGCTGTTTGATGTTTGTTGTAGTAAAAGTTATGTGGCATCTGCAACACAAGGGCCTGGAATAGTGTTTTCATAACAAATAGTTGAATATATTTAAAGTGCTTATTTCTCGGATAGACTAATAAATGGAGCCAATCGGTTTAGTGGTTTATTTCCTCTCGAAGTAAGTATTACATAATTACAGGTACATACGACTACCTTTGTAAACGTTAGGTTCCCGCCCTTGACCAGATAGGTAACAATCAGTACCATCGTTTGCGAAACACGCTCCGTGTGTGTGTGTGTGTGTGTGTGTGTGTGTGTGTGTGTGTGTGT